CTCCTAACTGAACTTAATTAAATGCATTCATTATCTGCCACATGACATAGTAAGTGATATCGTAGAAGCATGGAATTCTTAATAAAAAGTCGATAAAATGTTAAAAATACCTCTAAATTTAACGAGTATTTAGGGATGTATCCCGCTCACGTGGCATGATTAAGAGTGTATTTAAGCTTAATTAGTCAAGTAAGAATGTATTTTTAAGGCTGTCAACGATTAGAAGATGAAATTAATAATTTTGGAAGTGATTTCAATACATTTTTTTTAATAGTAGTTGTACATTTGTGTTTTACTTTCTTCTAAAAGTGAAGCAAAAACACGTGATAATGTGAACCAATCAACGGGCTATCTTCTTCCGCTTGGTCAATAAGGTCTTAGTCGATATGGATATTTTGGATTGGTCGCAATAAATGTTAATAAAAAATTTAGAGTTATCACAATTATATTCACCGTCTTGCCTGCTTTCAATTGATGACTAAATTTGATTTGGTAAGCAGTTAGCATAATGAGAATAGTATGGAATTTGTTTTTGATAGTCTTGAAAATAACAATAAGATATTAATTTGTTCAAAGCTAATATTCATGAATCATGACGGTGATAAAAATTAGAAATCATAATTTTCTGGTCAAGCTGCCACAATATTCCAATACATGCATGTCTTGAACATTTGCAACTTATCTTGAAAGTATTTCAAACTCATATATCCAAAATTAAGATGTCAAACTTTAGGGGCGTTTTCGTTGTTTCCAGTAGATCTGACATGACGCAAATTTGAATTAGTTGAATCAATTATTTTTATTTTCTTTCTCTTTTGCCAAGGGTCTACGAAAGCAACTTCTTCTACCTTCACTAGATACAAAGAACAAGGTTATGTACCTGCTATCCACCACTCTCCTCAGATTCCATTAATCGGATTATACTAGGTATGTTATTATTATCGCAAAAAGTTTCACAATACTTGCTCATTTGCAGTCGATTTGATTCCGGGGAATAATTGATGCACTTAAAATACATTTAACATATGAGTTTTCCTATAATAAAGTCATGGGCTACAATACAGCCCAAATATTGCAATGGGCTAAACCTGTTTGGGCCTCTGAAAAGTCGAAATATCGCCCAAATTTGTGTAATAAAGCCTCTATTCCTCGGCAATCGAAGCCCAAAGATCTATAAATTAGCCCATGCTTGACTAGCCAAGCAAATTAATGAACATTATTCTTGGACGAAGTGAACAAATACCCACTTTTGGATTTGGGAATAACTTTAAAAGTATGCGATTAAAGTTAAAAATTTGCGTATAACTTCGAAAGTTTTTATTTGAAGTGTGGACTTGTGAAGGTTAAACATCAGATGTTTTGCCTAAAATTTAGTATGACTAGTTGGGGAGTTGAAAAAAAATTCAACTTCAAATATGTTTAACTAAAATTTTGACCTTAACAAGATTTTAGATATATAATAGTTTGCAACGGTCAAGTTTAGATATTTTTTATTGAAGCTATAAACTTGTCGACAAACTTCATACATATATGAGTGAAGGTGGCCTTGATGAGATCAAAATTCATACATATACGATTGAAGATGGCCTTGATGAGATCAAAATTCATACATATATGATTGAAGATGGCCTTGGCAAGGCCAAACTTTGAAATTGTAGCCTTAACTATATCAAAATTCAAACATTTTAATCTGAACCTGAAAATTCACTCTCACAATATCTTCCAATGATTTTATACAAACAAATCTAATACTTCATTTATTAGATTACTCAAATTTTTTATTCATAGGAAGTCTTAAATTTTATTTATGTAAGTATTTAAAGCTCTATAAGTAATGATCTTTTTTCCAAAAAAAAAAAGAAGAATCAATCATATTTTCATTCTTCTTGGTGCCAACATCTACCCACAAAATCAAAAAACCATTTTTTTTTCTGAAAAAATAAAAAATAAAATATAATTCTCTTAGAACTTTAATTCAACATTCAAATCTAACACCTACCATTTTACCACAAAGCAAGAACACACCCCCCCCTCCCCCCAAACCCACTAAACCAAAATCGATCTAAAAGTAAAATAAAACAAAATCACATTTAATCCATACACCATTTTTAAGATAAGTTACACATCAATAATCCAATGCATTATTAATTTCGAAAAGGACAAAATGTAGTGCACATGGCAGAAAATATCATGGAGATTGACGTAGAATTATTTCCTTACATGCAAATTTCCAACTAAACTTAGGTGGTGTTTTATGCTAAGCTCGAGAAACAGATTCAAAATTTAAATTTCAATGAATTAGTCTTTTAATATTTTTATTTGTAGATTCATTATATTTAGTTTTGTAAGAAAATATATAGATACCCCTCTACACATTAGAAATATTGAGTTTAGGTGAACCCAATATTATATCGCTCCATTCTGCCAATGATTTTTTGCCATCTCTTAAATTATTAAAATACTTCTAAATAATTAGGTTGTTGACAAATGTTTGTATGTACACGTAGGTCTCACTTGTCTTTTTTTTATTATTATTTGATGCACAATAATTCAATACTTATGCCATACTTTGTTAGTTAGTTACTGTTGCTTGTACGAAATAGGTATTACCACGTTTTTTTTATTATAATTAAATCTCAGTTTGGAGTAGTTAATTAAGTAATGGCATGAGTCATGACCATAGGTTTAATCTGTTCCACTAATCACTAATCTCATTTACTACGTCTCTTTGCACCAACAAATAGAGTACCCTTTAAATTACGTAAAATGTACACCGTTAATCTAGTTAGGCATGTTATCATTTTCAAAAAGATTTACAATTAATTTGGATATACGATATTAAAATATGATTTGAAATCAGATTTATATGAAGTTGGAATTTTGTTTAGAAAGAGGAGTGTCGACACTCCTACATTAAAAAAATATATTGTGTAGCTAGAATAAAAATATTTGTTTATGTCAATTGACACTTTATGACTTCTACACAATTTTACTACTTTATACTGTGCATTTCTTTTAATTTTTCCTATTTCATCCTTAGATATTTGAATCTTTCGTAAAATAAGTAAATGCTAATAAGGATATCATCATTTGTGTCCTAGGGCTAGAACAATGAGCTTCAGACTTAAACACTCGATAATATTTTTGATTCGTTTTTGCCTTGATGACAAAATTATCATGTACTTATATTAAATTACTAATGGAATGGAAAATAGCAAATAGTCAATAAAATAGTTAAAATACGTATAAACTAGGAGTATATATTATGTCCCAAAAAAAATGGTAGGTGAAAAATAAACAACAAGAAAAGCTCTTACCTTTGTTTGCAAATTGTTGTTAAGCTGTTTTCTCCCCTAAGGAAAGAGTACGTGATTTCGACTGTATAATATAGGTTAGTCTATCAATTTTCAAAAGAGTAAGGGGAAAAATAATAATAATTAAGTTTGTTCCTTTACTAGCGATTTTATTCTTCGTTAAATTTTCGATCTAATATTATTTCTGTTGTTAAAAAAACAATCTTGTTTCATTGATCCGTAACAAAACTTCAGTGTGAGAGTACTGTAAAATAATATTTGAGTATATTTGAACCATTTTTCTTGATGAATTTAAATCTATGTAGTTCATTGTTTTTCTTTTTTTCGAAGTTGAAGCTTTGTTGATAACAAAGAAAAATACTCGGTTACTACAAAAAAAAGAAAAGGGATTAGGATCTGAAAAATACTCAAATTTTGGTCGAATTTGCTGTTGCGATACTAAACTTTCATGAGGACTTATTACCTCCCTAGACTATTTAATACCGTATTTTAAACATATATATTTACCCACGTGGACATAAAAAATAATGCAAAATTATAAATAGTAATGTGTTCACGTGGGCACATGTATACCTTTAAAATACACTATTAAATAGTTCAGGGGGTAAAAAATACGGTATTAAATAGTCTAGGGAGGTAATAAGTCCTCATGAAAGTTTAGTATCGCAACAACAAATTCGACCAAAGTTGAGATATTTTTCAGACCCTTATCCCAAAAAAAAAGACCCAAAACTTTAATGGATGGTCAAGTTTTTTAATTAACTAAAAGAAAAACAAGTAATTCCTCAGTTTCCAAAATGAGTTGCTATATTTCGCTTCTCGCAAATTAATCTAACTATTAGATTTAAATTAGATAAAATTAACTCAATATTTTTGTAATTAAAATTTAATATTTTAAACACAAAAAAAATTTTAAATTATAATTTTTCTCATCTCAATTTAAATAAATATATTTTAAAATATCAATCCAAATTCATGTAATTTTATTTTCTATCGAAAAGGTGAAACACGACAAAAACAGTGGTAAACATATCAATCGTTGAAGTGATTTTTTCGTTCGAATTAATGCGACCAATGTTATAAAAAAGAATAATGTCTTTTTTACATTATTTTATTTATAGTAACAAAGGACCACACGGACGAGTCTCCGAGTAAAAGGATTTTTGTCCGTATGGTTAAGTGTTAACAACTCAACATGGAAATAATAAATATTTTTATTATTAATTAAAGATATCAATTTCTAAAATTAGACTTTTTTTTTTTATCATTTTCAAATTTATGGTCTTTTCCAGTTTTATTTACGTGACAAAAAAAGATTTTGTTATATAAAAATAATCAATTATAAGGAGTATTTTAATTTAAAGTAAGGAACTTTTCAATGTAAAATGAAATTCAATTGAGCTTTTAATATAAGTATCAAATGTTTGCGATATCTTTAAACTATTTAAATAAGTCAATTTTTTACCATAATTATTTCATATATTTCTAAAAATTATTATAACTTATAGTACTTTTACATAATTTTTAAATATTTAAATTTTATTTTAAAAAACTTAAATTTTCATGTCTTAATTCACGATCAAACTATAAAAATACAATATATTTTACGTTCATACAAGATTTGAAAAACATACTCATATTCTATTTTAATACTATGTATTAAATGCTATTTTCCTGGCTCGAACTCGTGATCGCGGAACAGAGATAGTAGTAATAAAAAACTCAATAGTGAGCATCCTCACGCATACCTACTCGCGCAACTGTACGGTCTCGATTCACCGATCTGATTCCTCCATTAATGGAACGGAACACAAGCTCAATTCCCTTTCCGTTTCGTTCCAATTTTCGAAGCTGCCAACTTTTTCTCTCTTGTCTTCTACCAAAAAGCTCACTTTTTTATTCACACTCAATAAAAACTCAACTGTGTTAATCTCTCTCTGTCGCTCTGTTAATCTCACCGCCATTGCCGTATTAAAATATTCATTTGTTTCTGACTACAGTTTGTACTGACCCTTTTCTTTTTTTCCCCTGTTTTAATGGAAAAGTTGAGGTCTTTCAAATCTCTGTCTCCAGTTCATCATCTTCATCGTGCTAACTCTCCTTCACATCCAATAGAAGAACGTCAAAATTTATTGAAAGAAACCTCAATACCCAGTGTGTCTAGTAGGGATTCTCAAGCTATGGATGGAACTGAGGGTAAAGAAGTAGTCGTCAAAGCGAATATCAGAGAAACCCCAAAAACCTATAAAGAAACAGAGCTCTCTTCTTCTTCATCTTCTTCGAAAACCCAGTTGAGTAACAATGCCAGTACAGATGAGAGTATACAGAATAAGGTATATAGAGATTCCAGTTACGATTTCTCTAACGATGCAGCAATGAAACGCATGAGGGATAACAGCAAAGATTTCGACTTCGTAACGGAATCGCCATTTTCACAGCCGTCTCCGTTATCTAGGGTGGAAGAAAGCCCCAACCACGGCGTCCTTACGCCGAGGGAAGTTCGGGTTTCTTTCAATGAGAACCTTGCCGGTAACGGATCGGTTCGCCGGCGGTCCAATTTGAGTACTGGACCGGGTTTACAAGATGAGGTTGTGCTCAGTACCAGCTCTTCGTTTAGGAGAAAATCGAATCTTTTAGCTGCTACTAGAACAAAATCGAGGTTAATGGACCCACCTGAGCAAGATCAAAGGTCACAGAAGATTACTATGAAATCTGGGATTTTAGGGAGAAGTACTGAAATTGAAGATGATGACCCTTTTTCAGATGAGGATTTACCAGAAGAGTATAAGAAAATGAAGTTTAATTTATTCTCTGTTCTTCAGATGGTGAGTTTGATTTTGATAATTGCGGCTTTTGTTTGTAGTCTTACTATTAGAAAATTTAAGGGCAGGAGTATATTTGGGCTTGCATTGTGGAAATGGGAGTTAATGGTTTTAGTGTTGATTTGTGGAAGATTGGTTTCTGGATGGGGGATTAGATTGGCTGTATTCTTTATTGAGAGGAATTTCGTGTTGCGTAAAAGGGTGTTGTATTTTGTGTATGGATTGAGGAACTCAGTGCAGAATTGCATTTGGTTGAGTCTTGTTTTGATTGCTTGGCAATGTATTTTTGATAAGAAGGTTGAGAGTATTACGAATACGAAGGTATTAAGGTATGTGTCTCAGATTTGGGTGTGTCTCTTGTTGGGAACATTCATTTGGTTGCTGAAGACACTGTTGGTGAAGGTTTTGGCTACGTCGTTTCATGTTACTGCATTTTTTGATCGGATTCAAGAAGCTTTGTTTACTCAGTATGTGATTGAGACGTTGTCTGGACCGCCATTGGTTGAGATTAAGATGGAGCTAGAGGAGGAGGAGAGGGTTATTGCTGAAGTGCAGAAGCTTCAGAGTGCTGGGGCTACACTGCCTCCTGATCTCAAGGCCAGTATATTTCCAAAGAGACCGATTGGGACTCCACGGAAGTCCACTGCTGCTGCTACTCCTAGGAGTCCTGTATTTTCGAGAGCTGCTTCAAGAAAGGAAAAAGAAGAACAGGGAGGCATAACTATAGATCATCTACATAGGCTGAATCAGAAGAACATTTCAGCTTGGAATATGAAAAGGTTGATAAATATTGTTCGTAAAGGTGTGCTGTCAACTTTGGATGAGAAGCTTGAGCAGTCAAATGGCGACGATGAAGCTGCAGTGCAAATCACAAGTGAGAAACAGGCAAAAATTGCTGCCAAGAAGGTTTTTATTAATGTGGCGAAGCCTGACTCAAAGTAAGTATCCTGTTTAGGGTGACGGTTAGAAAGTGATTGATTCACGTATTAAAATCAGTATAAGTAATACCATGTTTGGTTGATTTTAGTTGCTACTTATCAAATTCAGCACACCAAGTATTGCATTTGCTTACCAATTTACACTCCCGCATAACTAATACATGGATAAGTTATAAGAGAATCTGTGTATTATTTTATGCTGGTTAGAAGATGGAATAACTAATAAAGTACATGAATAATTAAACCCTGCATAACTAGTACATGAATAACTAGACTATGCATTACTAATACTTGCATAACTCTAACCATTAACCAAACGACCCCTTAAGATGTAAGAGTTAAGTTCCTTATTGTATCTTATTTAGCATTTTGTTTGCTGATTTAACGAGATAAATCATAGCTTAATTGTTTTGTTGATAATCTTCAAGTAGCATAAAGTGGAAGTGCAGTTTAGATGTTTGGCTAGATGTTTCCTTCTAATTTTGTTGTATGGTTTCATCAACTTGCTGCCCTTTAAGTGCTTACTTTTATGTTCATGCTTATTCCCAACAATTCCCTTTTACTTTTACCTTTTATGACCTTTTTGTGGCATCTAATTTTCGGATCTAATTGATTTACTTATTTTGTTGTTTATCGCTGCCATCAGGTTCATCTATCTGGAGGATGTAATGCGTTTTATGAGAGAAGATGAAGCTTTGAAAACAATGCAGCTCTTTGAAGGTGGAACTGAAGCCAAAGGAATTAGTAAACGCGCGTTGAAAAATTGGGTGGTGGGTATATGGCCAATTTTCTTCGATATTCTCTTTCCCCATATATGCAATCCCTTCTTTTTCTTTTTCCTACTTTTGGTGCATAATGTTTGTTGCAAATTAGTTATGGAGTTTTGAGAAGCTTATTTTTCTCTTATCTCCAAATTCCAACAAAATGAATGCAACTCAAAAGTGTAACCAAAAGATGGTTTCTGAATTCATTCTGGCCTATATGCATAGGTTATTCACTTTTACTGTTCATTTTGGAGATGTTGTGTTTCCGAATAAATTGCCTCTAGTTGAGTAGCTGTGTAAAACAAAAATGAACTAAGAGTTGTGAAATTTAGCAACCGGGCAGAAAGGGGAAAGCACTATTGCTCAAAGTTAGATTGTGAAATAAAGATTAGGACATAAAGATTTCTATTTCTAGGTGATTCCTATCTTTGATCTTTATTCCTTTCAGGTGAATGCGTTTAGAGAACGGAGAGCTCTTGCTTTGTCTTTGAACGACACAAAGACTGCCGTTAACAAACTACATCACATGTTGAACGTCTTAGTAGGGGTTATCATACTGGTCGTCTGGCTTCTTATACTCAAAGTTGCCACTACACATTTCCTGGTCTTTATGAGCTCTCAAGTTCTTCTGGTCGTATTCATGTTTGGAAACACTGCCAAGACAACATTCGAGGCAATCATATTCTTATTTGTGATGCACCCATTTGATGTAGGTGATCGTGTTGAAATTGACGGAGTTCATGTAAGAAATTCTTCCACAGTTATATAGATCATTGGATAACATTCTGATTTGTATATTAAAAGACCTTTTCTGATGTTTGTATTTCAGATGATTGTAGAAGAGATGAATATATTGACTACGGTTCTCCTGAGATTTGATAACCTGAAGATCATATATCCCAACAGTGTCTTATCTACAAAGCCCATAAGTAACTACTATCGCAGTCCAGACATGGGAGATGCAATTGAGTTCTGCATTCACATCTCAACTCCTATGGAAAAAATAGCATCGATGAAAGAGAAAATAACAAGGTATATATAGTGGTTGACTTGCTCTTTTATGATAACATAAGAATGCACTCATCTTAGTAGTCTGTCTACACACAAATCATCTATCCTTACTCTTTTTTCGGAAATATTACTGTTGGTAAAATAGACGCAACAGAACGCCTTTTTGACTTGCCTCTCAGCTTAAGCAAGAAACTAATTACTCCGCTTTTAATTTGTTTGTCTTACTTTCCTTTTGAGTTCGTCTAAAAAAGGAGGTCTCTTTCCTTTTTGCAACTCTTTAATTTCAACTTTCCACATCACATTCTTAAGCCACATGATTCAAAAGTATCTTTTAATTCCTAAAACTCCGTACCAAGTCAAAACCAGACAAACAAATTGAAACCAAGCGAGTAATATTCTTTTGTTATAATAATTCATGGTTTGGCTTCTGTACTGTCAGGTATATTCAGAACAAAAGTGATCATTGGTATCCAGATCCCTCAGTTGTGATGAGGGATGTTGAAGACTTGAACAGGATAAAGTGGTCAGTATGGATTTCACACACAATGAATTTCCAAGACATGGGAGAGAGATGGGCAAGGAGAGCTCTTTTAATTGAAGAAATGGTTAAGATATTCAGAGAGCTAGATATCGAATATCGTATGCTCCCTCTCGATGTCAATGTTCGTAATATGCCACAGATATCATCGAGCAGAGTCCCTTCTAACTGGTCTCTTTGTGCTTAATCAATGATTGAAACGTCTACTCATCTGATAATTCTCACCAGAGACCATTGAAGAAAGGTGAGTTTGTTAATGAAAGCATTGTAATCTTGAAAATTGCCTATGATTTCAGATGGTAAAGTAGTTTTGATCAGTCAATATTTGGCGAGTTAATGTACATAATGAGCTGGTCACTTTTTTTAGTTGAAAATTTAGGAAGTTGACAGTGAAATTTCATAGAAATTGCCACAATTATGTAGTTATGAGTATCTTAATTACTTTTTATTATCTAATCTTAAATCTTATAATTGTCCTTAGAATTGCTATCTTTTTATAGTTTTATAATTGTCACCATTAGCAATTGAACTTATGCCTAGCAGCATTGCATAACTTGTGGGATGTTATAATGCGGAAATAAAACAATTTATGCCCCGTGATAAATACAGGGGCAGAAATTAAAGACCAGCACAAAATAGGAGAAGTTCAAAATGATCCATTAAATGGATTGGGAATGTCGAGTGCCTCAATCTTTTGACGACAAATTGATATGGATGATGACAACGATGACGTCTTTCCGCTTTTTTAAGGTCTGATAGAAGGATGTGTAAAAATTAGACTGTTATACATTCCCTTGCTTCTATTAGGCAGTTTCTCTAATCACATATGACTGTAAATAACAAGTATACCCTGTTTATATGACTGTTAATAATTGAATATGCATATTGATATGTCTTATCTTGGTTGGGTCTTGAATCTTGTGATTTCCATTATGGAATTTGTTTGGCTAAGTGCCCTGTGTTTATTGATGTTTGCGTATACGTTTGTGCTGCTGGGTTCTATCTATGTGATGAATTTATTCCATATTTTCTCGCTGAAGGATATCCTCTCTATGCTGCTTCGTTTGGACTAGGATGTCAAAATGCCAGCCACTTTTTGGCTTTTGTTTTCATGTGCTTACTAACTCTGCAAGTTTCTTTTTATTATTTACACTATGGTTGGTTTGGGTGAATAAGGTGGTCCATAGGGGGAAAGTAACAGAGATGGTTACTTCAGTACCCCTATAAGAGTCAGAAATGAGATAAACTAGCTGCATGATTCCTAAACTAGATTGTTCCTACCCCTTTCTCCCCTTTTGGCTTTATTGAACAAACAAAGCGTTTTTGTACCACTGTACTATCATGCCAGAGTTTTTGATTGAAGGAAGTGTGTTGCTGGCACTTCATTTGAAGGTCAGATAGTGGCTTTTCCTACTTACCACTTAGGTGACTTGGTCTGAGGTTTAGGGGCTTATCTAAATGGGGTTCAAGTGAACATAGTAGCTTCTGCACAAGCTCTCTATATGCATTACGATTTCACTAAATATCCATAAATATTTGAATGTGGATCCAACTATTATTGTATAGTAACTTGAGGACGTCGTAGGAACGCATAAACTTAAAATCTTAGTGAGGTTAATGGTCCTTTGCACTAAGCTCATCCTTACTGTTACCATAGGAGCAAGAGAAGCTGATTACTAGGATTGAACAACAGGTAAATCCCATAGTTGGCAGTTGCCTCTGTCTAGTCTATTAAATCCTGCTTAGTTGTGATGAAACTAGTATCGGGCCCATAAATAAAGCCCACCCAATGGATTTGGGCTAGCTGGAAAAAGTGTTCATGCATGGTAGCCCCCCTAATGTCGACTAGCGTTTGATTAGATCTTCAAATATTTTCAAGTTCTCGATAATTGACTTGGACCAACTTTGGAGACTCTACTTACAAAATTTCAAAAGTTCCAAGTAAAATGCATGTCCAAACATAACTTTGAAAACTCAAAATTTCAATTTTAAAATCTATAGTCATATCACATATGAGAACTCAAATCGAAATAACGTGTCACTTGTTACATTGCTCATAAACTATACTTTTATATTCTTGACCATGACACTCTTAGCTTTGAAAACATAATATATGTGTTGATATTATATTCGAGAATCACTTTTACTTTTGCTTAAAAAAATAAGAAAGGTATCCATATCTTAAAATATTTTCATATCAAGATAAGATGAGATACAAGGCCGGTGGACCAACTTAGCTAATCAAACGAAAAACTTTGTGCCTTGTCTTAATTCTAAAATTCTATTTAATTCATTTTGCTCAACCCTTTTCTTGTGCACATTGGATAATATTGTTTCTTTAAATCCAAAACTAAAGTGAATTTTAATTAATTATGTTAAAATGTATTGTTTTCATTTGACTAAAAATTTAGTCAACTCTGGATTATTGCCAAAATATAATACATATAAGCTATTAATATGTGTTAGGTATTACTAAGGCTTCATGATTACATCATCTTCTCGATCAATTTAATTTATTTTTGTATTTTTGTAAGAATTTTATTATAATGAAATAAATATGTTATACTAGTACATTATGGCCCACGTTTATCTTCAAACATCATGACATCCGGCCCATTCCAACAATAATGCAAAATAGATGGATTGGTAAGTAAATATACCTCATAAAATAATGTCGTGACATAATAATAACTAAATACTCTTTCATATTTAATTAGAAGTCCCACAATCAAATTCTGATAATGAAGTTGCGTTTAATATGAAATGCTTTATTCCTCAACTGAAACTTTTCAGTAGAGTCTAAATTAACCGGACTTCAAAATGAATAGTATAAACTGCACAGAAGACTAAGTACTATAGTGCTTATTTCATGGTTTAAGAAAGAACCTATGTAGACTTAAAAATATGAACACTTTCAATGTAGATTTGATTTATTATAATAAATATTACTACTTTTTTTTGAGGCAACAATTTATAAATATACCTATCGTTCTATCGATAGAAAAGTTCAAGCTATAATTATTTCCCGAGGGTCCATTAGTATCAATAAAAAAATTTAAAAAATGGCTCTTCAAACGTCAGAGGATCAACTAGTTATGGCCGTTTCATTATCCTTGTCCCTACTCTTTCTATCAATATTATTCAATGATATATGAAAATAACTAAAGATGATCGATAAGCATTATGTCTCTCTCAATCTATTATGAAAAGGGCCAAGACATTCAAACCCCCGTGGGCCTTACTTTGTTTTTATCTTTATTTTTAATCAGACGTTTTGCATTTTTATAACCAAAAATATGCGGAAGGTACTCAAAGATTGAGAACCATGAGGTTTCAGGTTCAAATCACTAGGTGATTCTTTCCATTTGTTCCAAGTTTGAAGGACAGAGTTACCTAATGCTTAGTGGCCGTGGGAGGTGTGCGAAAGCTGATCCGGATAGCAGGATCATAAAAAACAACAACATGCAGAAACACATACACACAATCTAAGAATAGGCATAACTACCTGTAGGTTGTTGCTAATAATTAGTTTGAGCCAAATGATTGCGGCAAAGCACTGAATGCAAGATACATATCACTTATTATATGATTCTTTTTGTCATTTAACTATATTTAGTTTAATTGTAATTTATACATTCTCTCTTTAATTTGTATATAACTCTTTACGTTTAAAGTGCTTCAATGCTTACAAGTTATAAAGCTATGGAGGAATGGGAAAAGACGGAACTCAGAGGATCTTTTCAGCTTCTATCATTCCCATATTATTATTATTATATAGAAAAAATCCAAGTAATCTCTTGTTAAATCATCCAAAATCTAGTGTGAGACGTGGCAGTTATAGTAAGCTATTGTCAGCTGCCTCAAAGTCTCAGAAAAAGGAAGATGCCTTAGAATATACCATCCTCTCATCAATCGGTTCGGCTCTAACATTAAACAGATAAGACACACAAATTATTAGACCAACCACTCCCTAGAAGGTAACTTATCCTTCGATAGATTTATTCCATTTCTTATACTATATAGTTGTATTTATATCATATTAAAATTAAATATTTACTAACTATAAATTTAGATCTCAATTATTGAGATTTTTAACTCATTGTTGTATAATTCAAAATTCATAAAATCTTCTGTCTTTGGTAGCAAACACATGGGCTATAACACAAAATGATTCATTAACTATTGAGTCAAAACGAATTAACTAGTGTAATCCAACAGTCAAAGTGCAACCCAAATCTAAACGCACAAAATAAATTTTGCTAATTTGGATGAATATTAAACTAATAATTAAGAAAAATACTTTATTATTTTCAAATAAATAAGAAAACAACATTTAAGACGGATAAAGTTATAACCCGTTATCACTTCTACCTGCTCCTATATAAACTTGCATTTTGCAAGAAACCACCCAAACCAGAATGAAAGCAATTCTCAACTACCCCATAGGCCCCATACTCTTTTTTAAAAATAGGAACCTGTAGTACAACAAACTGTTTTCTATCAACTTTTTTTTTTGCCCAAGTCAGTGGTCTGAAAAAAGAACACCATGAATTCTCAAGCTTCTTTGATGACCATCTCCCTACCAGAACAAGAAAAACTCATACACAAACTCCAAATCTTCAAGATTCAAGGTAAAGATAAACGTGGAAGCTCCATCCTTTGCGTCATCGGCAAACTTTTCCCTGGTTAGTTAATTCTTTGCTTTTTCTATGTGTATGTATTTCTGTCCGGCTAAATTAACCCAAAAATACTCTTTTAACATGTGTGATACTGTCTATTTTGGGAAAATCCGCAAGTTTTTCACCAAAAAATGGACATTTATCACACCATTAAGAGTATTGCTACTTTGTTCTCACATCTATCATATCTTTCTTTGTTATTCTAATTCTGATTTTTTTAATTGTACTGGTTGATTTATCAGCAAGGATTGTAAGTGTGGAGGCAGTGAACAAGTATCTACAAGAGAAGATATATCCAAGTTTAGAGCAGAGACAGTTCTCAATAGTGTACCTGCATACAGGGGTTAACAGAGCTGAAAATTTCCCTGGAATAGCTGCTCTCCGGTCGATCTGTGATGCTATGCCGGAAAACGTGAAAAATCATCTGAATGCTGTTTATTTCCTTCATCCAAGCCTACAGTCTCGACTCTTCCTTGCGCTTTTCGGCCGGCTCATCTTCACCGGAGGGTAATTCACTTTTCATAAGTCACTGTTCATTTCACTTTCTTACAAAAATCATAGATTTACGGTCAAGATTCTGGTGGTACCAAACTTCCAACTGCCCATTTTCCAGCACTAATCACGGCTATCATCTTGATCCACATGTCTAATTGAACAACTTTTAGAGTAGTAATGAAGAGTTTCACCTACTGCCATAAAAGTAGTATATTATATACAATGGTCTTTGAAGACCTGCCAACTTAAAATACTGAATTGGTGAAATCCCCTTTTATTCTTAAAGGAATACCCCATACTAGATAATAATAGGTTCTGAAACTAGCAAACTATACAAATCGGACCAATTAGTATTACTGCAATATTTTTTTTATTTAGCTGACTTTAAGAGCAACTATTTAATTGCAGGGTGTATTGGAAGATGAATTATGTGACCAGGCTAGAGTTCTTGTGGGAACACGTAAAGAGAAAGGAGATAGAAATACCCGAGTTCGTGTATGATCACGAAGAGGAGCTGGATGACTACCGTCCGATGATGGACTATGGAATGGAGGGAGATCATCCAAGGGTTTATGTTGATTCTACTGTTGAACCTGCAATTTCTATGTACTCAATGAGGTGTATTGCTTAGTTAAAAATGAGGAAGAACTGTTTTAAGGTGGGTCTTAGATGGGCTGAACTGATAATGTTTGCCGGCCTCTTAGGCTACTATGTTTTTTATCTTCAAGCATTAGTAGTTTTACTGTTAGAAAAGCTGCAAAATGCTTAGTGGTTATATGTCGCATTCCCAATTCTAGGTTTTGTTTAGACTGTAAAACGAAAAACCAAATGAGCATCAATAGATTTTTTTTTTCTTTCGACGAAACAGCAAGAGATTTAATATTCCAGCTTGTAGCTGAACTCAACAACTCTTCCTATCATTTCCAATGGACAAAGTGTTGTTTCCTCATTTCTTCTCTAAAACCAGCAATATATTTTTAAGAAGCAGATGTTAGGAAGTGGTTATGCATATACTGAACATTGGAGGCTTAGCTAAGTGGTTATGCATATACTGAACACGAAAAGGCATCCCTTTAGGATCATTTGGATTCCAGGAGACATGAGAATAAAATTGAAGCACAAGGCAGTCAGAGGCAGATGTCGCATGTTTGCTACAAGTTCAACCGAACCCAACATTTTGGACACATAGAGTATATCTATATGCAAGAATTACTAAAATTTCAATAAAGATTAAATTCAGAACCAAATACCAAAAGGGAAATAGGTTCAATTGCAAGATCTTAAAAAGAATCCTCAACTGGAAACGCACGACTTCTATAATGTCTTTGGTCATTCCATTTGGTTAAAGTCAATTGGCATCGTACTGATACCCACTCGGCCGCTCCCAAATAAACACAGACAAGTTCTAGGCTATCTCCAATTCCATCAGTTTTCTCCAGTGACTGTCTTAAATTGCGGAGAAATATTCTTTTCGATGTAACTATGATGTAGTAACATTTTTAATCTACAACCCTTCCAATACAATCATTCTATTTTTCCAAAATTCCAAAGATTTCACAAGCTTAGTTAAAATAAGTCACCCATAGGCTATACGGACTTAGCTTTCTGGTTAGTTTACTCATCTGAATGATACTCTTTCTGGTTAGTTTACTCATCTGAACGATACTCTTTCTGGTTAGTTTACACATCTGTATGATATTACAAGAGTAGACCTCCAGGTCCTGAATCCTAGCTAATATTCCGTTCCAGCTAATTAGTTGTTCACAATAAAAGTGAAGGTATTTACAGAAACACAAAGCAGACGCAGTAAGATCATGCAATTACATAGGAATGTTGCAGGCATAAATAAATCTGTTGGTACAGGTTTATTCACAACATATGAATATTTGATTAATAGGAATGTTGCAGTCACCCAGATTGCATCAAGAAAATGTAGGTACATGTTTACTTACAGCACACCACTAATTGATAATTTGCGTCTCATATACAAATTAATTCCATCCATCAAATTGAACTCTGGCCAGAAAAACATATTCACAAACCACCTCAATGGAGGAATCCACCAAGGTCCACTGCAACAAGATAACAACACGATTCAAAAGGTATTATACACTGTAAGCAGAGATCAAAATAGAGGATGGATGAACAGGTCTACTAAAAAGTTCCTTCTTTTACCTATTTTCCTAAATCAACTTTTCCCCATCCAAACCGTAAAAGAACAAAGAATTTAAGAAACATATGCATTTATGCAAATTTCAAAATTACATGCTCATCGTAGAGCTAGAGATTTCCATTAAGTTTGTCCGGTTATTGGAGGGAAAAATTGGAAATCATATGAATTGCCTAATCAAAGAAAAACAGACAGATGAAACATCAGATAACAGTTACCCAAGAAGTTGGAGAAACTCAATATCTAAGCCCTTTTGACATGTAAATTAACTTAATTCAGATAGATGAGTATCAGGACCCACAATTACTACTGAATAAAATGGTAACTGCTCAGTTCTTTATGCATAATATAAACTTATATTTTTCTAATAGGACTATTGCAACTGGTATTACTTCATCTTAACAGAAGACTCTCTATATCTAGCATATTCACAACATCAACACAAGCTAATATTCTAGGCCAAAGGAAGCAATTTATTTCCCATGAAACAGTCAAAATGTATTGTTTCATTGGGGAATAACTAACGCTCATCGATGTGTTCTCCCTAAAGTCTCTCCTGACTGCAATCTTATTATTGGCACTATAGGGTCTTTCAGTTGTATTGGAGGTACAAATATCTCCATACAAGTTTTAAAAAGTAAGCTGTGTGCAGTCTATTTACACTTAAATTGAATTGTGCTTCATCTATAACTTCAAATATCTTATAATCGATCCAATCAAGCTTCTGGTGAAATTCAAGAAGTTGACTGTTAATCTCTCTAGAGTTGTCAAGAGAGTAGTACAATATATTACATCAGTGACCAGACTAGAAATACAGTTCACAAAGTAAAACAACCTAACATACACAAAAAAGGATAGGCAGACTTACATTGTCAACATGGATTTGGAGTGAACCAAATTGGAGGAGGCCAACGAAGCACAGAATGTGAATTGCGAGGACAGCAGGACAACGCTTCAATACTACCATCCGCTAAATTGTAATACCCTAAATCATGATTTCCATCAACACCATCATAGTTAGCCTCACAATAATCATCAGTAAAGTAAATCCTGTTTCCTTCACATCCAGGAAAATCAGAAGCCAACAATGCCAACGAAGAATTTTCTCCTAAAAACAACATTGTCTCACCCAAACTGTTAATCTCCTCCCACTCACACCTTGGTCTTTCTAAAACCAACCTAAAGACACAAAATTCAACTGTCTTATACACCACATCAAGCTGATGATACGCAGCGTCAATATCAAGCTCCAAAAATCTAGTCACCAGTAAAAACTCATCATTTGTTTTGACCAAATACTGCATATCACCACCAATTTGCTTAGGAGTTTCAATAAACGAAACACTAGGTGTGTCACCACTAACATCACAAACTGCAATTTCTCCAGATTTATGAACAGCATAGAACAATCCTTCAAAATAGATAACATCCTCATCGTAAAACCGTGCATCATCGATAAATTTCCATGAATGTTCTCCATTTTTGCAGTAAGCAAGCTCACCTGTTTCATTAAGGATCACCATCGTAATAAAATTCGGATCACGTGAAGGACTACTAGAAATGACAGCCTTCCTAATAAACGAATCACGCATTTCTTTCAAATTACGAGCGTAAACCTCGCCATGAGGAGATCGGAGGGTAAATTCCCGACCGACGCTATAAAAATTGAAATTCACCACATTAGGAAATTGAGAAACCGGTGGAAGATTAAAAGTTACTTTTGTAAGTGGATTAATAACGAAAATTGACGGCGATTCGTCGACGATGATGAGCCAGCCATGGGAAGAGCCGCATCGTCGGCGGCTGTTTGAAGCCTCAGGAAGATTGAGGAAGTGAACCTTGTTGTCAACGAAGTTGAAAAAACCACGCCGGTTCGACTGGTTTTTTGGGAGCATTAACCATGGGAGTTGACATGGTAGGTTTTTGGGAGTCGCCGGCGTTGAGGAACGCCAGCTAGGACAAACTGCCCGGAAATGGAGGTAGTCACGGAGGTCAATTAACTTATTCACGATCGTGTCCAGAAGCTCCGGTGGAAGTTCCGACCAGTCATTGTCAACCGACATGGTTTTAGATAATACCATTGAAATATATTAGTGATATATGCCCCAAAAAAAGAGAGAGACTTGATATATTAAAGCTTTAATGAATATATTATCTAGCGAATATATATGATGTACGCATAAAAATGTATATATTAGCTTAGGAATATAAATATTTTTGGTTCAATGTCAACTTAATTAGACAATTGTTACTATTATTTTATTATTAATTAGACAAAACTAAACTAATTTGTAATCAAGTGATGAACCTTTGATTTTTCATTCAAAATTATCAAACATTATCTGCTTGAGGCATTTCATTAATTAAAATCGAAGAGATTTACTCCAAAAGTTCCACGCAGCTTCATTTATACAATGGCATGGGAGGATAGGGAACTTACATCTTACCCCTACCTGTTCGAAAGACTGTTTTTAGAGATCCCAATTCAAATACCACATTATCAAAGTAGGTATGAAAAAGATAAATAACAGTGAAGAAAACAAAACAACTAATAGGGAAATATTAACCATCACATAGCAACACAGAGGAACATACAACTATATAAAGTTTGAAAAACCATTGCGAATAGCTACTTCAAAAGTTCAGCTTGCCATGTCAAATTATCAATGTTTAAATAAGAACATGTAATTTGCCAAATTACAGTTTGTTCACTTCAGCAAAAACTAAAGCGTATTGCTTCACTTCGACCATAACATTTGAAGCACTATAACAAAATTAACAAAGTTTCAAGATTTAAATTTTGACATATCCTAGAAGGATCAAGAGCTTTCTCTGTCTTTGCTCCATGGAGATCCCTTGAAAGAATAGAACACCATATATGATAGAAGTAAAAAGTTTACATGATATTGGTGCACGAGATGCACAGAGTTGTTTGATAGAGCATAGCCTATGAGTTGACCAAATCAGCATCGTGCGCTGCCTCGCCATTCTTTGCATCGGTGCTCTCACCATTGTTGAGAGCAACTAAATCAGCCTCAACAACAGTTTTAACAACTTCTGAACCATCACCAGCAGAATTAACATTACCAGTGCTCTCACCATTGTTGACAGCAACTAAACCAGCCTCAACAACAGTTTTAACAGCTTCTGTACCAGCACCAGTAGAATTAACGCTATCGGTGCTCTCACCATTCTTGACAGCACCTAAACCAGCCTCAACAGCAGTTTCAACAACTTCCGGACCACCACCAGCAGGTTTAACAATATCCACAGCACGCAGATCAGGGTAATTACGATGGTTCAGGGAATGCAGCCACACAGCCATTGTCCCTTCTTTTTGTTCTGTCGATGCAATATGACTATAGATATACTTCATTTTGAATTCTTCTGCCTCCTCTAAATAAGCTTTCAGAGACACTTCTTCATGAGTGTCCTTCCACTTACTGTTATATGAGGTGAAAAAGCATTCGTCCAAATACAATCCAACCTCAGGCGCCATGGGAACATTGATGTTGACATCCCTGATATGATCAAATTGTATCAGATTAAACCATGCTTACCTACTCAAAACTTAAAAACAGAATAACTAACAAAGAGTAACACATACCTTCGGAAGGCAGTTACAATTAACGATTCAGGAGCACAATTTCTCATGATAGCTACAGCAAGACCAATCATTTTACGGATTTGATGAAGCATGAAGCTCTGACCAACAACCTCACACTTCACAAAATCAATGCCATCAACATTAACTACAGTATTTGCATTAAAGGAAATGATATATCGCTTGGCAGCAGGGTCATCAGCTTTTGTTCTAGTTGTGAAATTGTGAAAATTATGAGTTCCTTCATAGTACTTCAAAATTCTGTTAAATCTCTCTTTTTCTTTCTCTCCATAGCAAAACACACTCTCTTCCACCTGTTCTTCCATTTTAGCATTTTCATTGCTTCCTTCAACTTCACCATTCCTTTCTTCAACCTTCTCACTCAAAGAAGCTTCATTTTCAATTACCATATTTGTATCAGTAGTCGGATCATTTGCATTAACTACTGGTGCATCAACAATAATAACTGACTGAGTTATTGGATCGAAAACACGTCTACCCATTACTCCAACGACTTTACGACCCCTTTCTGGACAATTTAAACACTTAGCAAGCTCTTTTCCAGATCCTAAACTAGCTAACACGCTTTCTCTATCACGATGTGCATATGGATCAAGAGCAAAAACAGGAACCAAATACACATACCTACGCTTATCACAAAACTTCTTAGCACTAAACGCATTCGTTACACGTTTAAACCCAAAGATCCGGATTTGAGGAACGAGAATGGAGTTAAGCCGATCAATAAAACCAGGCGGATCGACGTAAAACCGACCCGAAACAACTTGACCCACGGCGCTAACGCCCTTATCAGTACGAGCAGAACGAGCCCACTCGTACTTTCTGGGTTGACATTTATCATGGTCAGGCACACCACCTGCTTGATAAAGTGCTTCTTCTAAATCTCCTTCGATTGTTTTTGCTCCAGGATTCTTCTGCATACCCTGATATCCTACTCCACAGTAAGCAAAGAATATTGCTACTTTCCTGCGCTTGTATCTAGGTTTCCTCTCCGGAGCAGAACCATCTCCGGCGCCGGCGGCGTATTCTTCGTCGTCGGAAGTAGTGGTGGTGGACATTTTCAGCTTTTTGGGTTGTGGTTCTTCGGTAATTGATGAAGGAACTGGTTCTTTCTCCATGTTCGATTTCAATAATCAGAGGGAATTGGAAATTTGGGAATGAAAGAGATGGTGGCCATTACAGAGCAATTTGTTGATTGGGGATTTTATCAAACCCTAATAAAACCCTAGAACCAACTGCCCGGCGCCACGATGGATCTGAAAATGGTATGCTGCTCCTGATTGTACCATTTGAATGGACTATAGTACTCGAAGGATTTTGGAAATTAAAAATTTTCAAAAAGAAAAAAAAAGAAGAAAGGGGTGATGCTATACATTTGGGACATACAAAAATTGATATCTAATTTTTTTTTTAAAAAAAGAAATTGATATTTTAAACAAACTTTAGAAAAAATTATGTTTGAAAGTCAAAGTTATCTTTTCTATATATGAATTTAATTAGCAAAAAGACTAAAAGTAGTGAATAAAATCAAAACCACTTTTTCAAATTTAAAATTTTTATCTATAAAAGAAGTTACAATTTGATCAAGTAGTATCATGATTCAACCGGCATAGACGAAATTACATTAAAATTAAGGAGGAGAATTGAGATTAGTTAGATGTAATTAAGCATGATGGCGGTTTATAACTATAACAAAAAACGAAATGATCAATAATTTAGGGTGTTGATTTGAAGAATAATATGAGCCAGAAAAATAAATTAAAGGTATTTCTAGATTAATAGATGGATAAAGAGTATTTGTGAATCCTTTTCTATACGTTGAGATATTTATATTCCTACAACTATTTTTTGATATTTTTCCACTCAAAAACAACATAATTACGAACAATTTAAAATGAAGATGCGTTAAATATTATTTATTTTAAAATAGAAAAACAAAGATAAAAATTCAAAAGAAAAGAAGGAAAAAATAAATAACTTTTCTCAGAGCAGGGTCAAGGCCTAGGTGTCGAGCCAAAAGAGCTTAACCGAACTCTTATAGTTTGATTAATAAACTACTTTAAAAAAAAGAAAATTATTAGAGTGCATACATATTTTAGTGTAGTTAAATAGGGAATTAAATCTCTTTGTCCCTTTACATATCTTTTTACATATTGAATAAGAGAAAAGCTGTAATTCATCTTTGGATGCCAGTGTATATAAATTGGATACTAATTAAATGACACTCGTATTTCATGTTATCTAAATTGGTGTTCATTTGGTTTCGAATTAATATAAAAAATAAAACTATTTAATGTTATATTCAATTGATATGCAGTTTGTATAGAATTAGTATCCTGAAATTATAAGAGAAAATATGTAATTCATATGTTAACAGATCTAGTTAAGTTTTAAAATGTGTATGAATTATTTGGTACTATGTTTATGATGTTTTTTTTCAAAACTAAAGTCCAATAAAAATCTGGCTAATGTTGATATCCAAATTGTATACACTTGGTATCCAACTTGAGAATTTTTGACAAATTTAAAATAAAAATGAATGTAGTTGGTATCTAACTGGAAGAAAACAGTGCATATTGTAGAAATCCCACGCCTAGGATTAGAGAAATCAAGGATGTATTGATGAAAATAATGTTGAGTTACAAGCTCCTTATATAGGGAGACAATTGTAGAGTCCTGCTACAATACATATTACTACTATAATAATAAAATAATTATAAATAATCTAATCCTGGTTGTACTATAATCCTAATCGGAATCTAATCATAGTCGTAATATAATCCTAATTAATATAAGTAGTCTAATCCTAGTGCGACTCTAATTCTACAGCAGTGCTGTCAACTAGTCAGTCAGCTTCGTTGGACCTGTTCCTTTGACATATTCCAATCGTTAGCTTCCTTCTTCATCAACACTTGTTGTAGACACGCCAGTCAGCTTCGTTGTACCTGTTCCTTTGATATGTCCAATCGTCAGCTTCCTTCTTTTTCAACACTTCCCCTCAAGCTAGTGAGTAGAGGAACGGTTACTCCTAGCTTGCTTCAAATACCCAACAAAAAAACTTTGAATACCCAGCAAAAATTTGTTTTGTCAATGTTTCGGTATGAATGTGATGTCTAGTTGTTGCTTGTGATAGTTCATCTGCAGATTGATACAAGTAGTTCCACCAGTAAAAACACTTAAGAGCAATATGATTATTCCTATCACAGATTTGACATGACTCAATATTATTCCTCTCCTTATTTTCACTTTGGAAACTTTTATTGTTCCGTGAACCTGGTCCATATTGACTGTTCTGAGAACCTGTTTCTTGTCCAGCAAGCTTGAAATCTGTTTCTCTGCAGTTGATTTTGTTGTTTCCTCTTCCTCTGCCTCTTTGAGCAGATAATACTATGTTATGATTTTGTTGTGGCACCTTTTCTTCATCTTCCCTTATATCAAAACTCGTGGGAGCATAAACAAATTGATTAAGGGTGGAATGTGGAATCTTACCTATATGACAAAGGTCATGTATTTGAGACTTAAACCTCTAGCAAAATTAATTGCTTTTGTTGCTTAAATATAAGCTTTTTCCAAGCATTCTTACATCTCCTTGGCAGTTGAGCAGCCCACAATTAGGTGCATGTTTTCTTCAGTCAAAGTGCTTGAGATCCAACTTCTTAGTAACACATTTTTCTCCTTCCAATAATCAATGGTGCCACTATCTTTTGCATCTTTCTCAGTCTCTACAATTTTCCCAGCAGTCTGTCCAGTGAAACAATTACTTTTACTTGGTTCATTCTCTGTGATGAGATAGTTAGTTTCATCACGTGAATCAATTGGGATATTTGTGTCCTCCATATAAGGTAGTTTGTTGGCTTAGATTTAATGGAGCAAGCGACGAAGATTTGGTGAAGTGAGGAGGTTGACATAGTTTTGATAGAATGGGCCATTGCAACGTGTGGTTTTTTTTTTATCAATACTCAGAGAGCGAAAAAGCTTTTATGCTCTGATATCATGTAAAAATCTCACGTCTAGGATTAGAGAAATCAAAGATTGTATTGATGAAAATAATGTTGAGTTACAAGCTCCTCATATAGGGAGACAATTGTAGAGTCCTAAGTTAACTATATTTAGAGTCCTACTACAATACATATTACTACTATAATAATAAAATAATTATAAATAATCCAATCCTACTTGTACTATAATCCTAATCGGAATCTAATCCTAGTCGTAATATAATCCTAATTAATATAAGTAGTCTAATCCTAGTGTGACTCTAATTCTACAACAGTGTTGTAAACTCGTCAGTCAGCTTCGTTTGACCTCTTCCTTTGACATGTTCCAATCGTCAGCTTCCTTCTTCATCAACACTTGTTGTAGACACGTCAGTCAGCTTCGTTGGACCTGTTCCTTTGACATGTTCCAATCGTCAGCTTCCTTCTTCTTCAACACATATTATAAATCATCAAAAACATACAACTGTAGCAAAAATAATTATATATCATCCAAAAATTAAAAAAAAAAACATATAATAGTCTAAGCTGCAATCAACTATCTCAAATTTGATTTTTGTGGTCTTGGTGTAGGATAATTACTGATATCCGGAGCATGTTCTTTTGCTATGCAGGGTCTACCAAATTTGCTAGCAACAGTTCCAATTACTTTACTCTCACTAATCGCGCCATATCGTTCTTGATTTTTCCGTACTGCCTTATGATTGTTGTGTACGTTTGACGATGGTACTTTGCATCGATATTAATGGAACTCATATCAAAAACTTCATTACTCAGCAAATAAACATGTGTACATGTCACAATTACTGAAATACAATTGAAAGAAAAATAATTTTGAGAAATAGAGTGAATTAGTTTTCTGATAAAATCACTAAAAGATAGAAATACATACTTTGAACCTGACTCTTGTTGAGGCACATTCGCCAGATGCTTGACTTCGAGTGGGTCGAATTGAGACTTGTCAACATATGCATGGAGAAATTGTTTCTATGGAAGATGATTGAAGAAGTGAAATTTGCCCTTTCTTTTGATTGTAAAATGAAGATTTTTTTTACTGAATAGGTGTAGAAACGGTTTCTATGGAAGATGATTGAAGAGGTGAAAGAGGAATTGGTAATTTTTGAACGTGTGGTAGTGGGGTGATGTTGTGATGACTAGAACAAGTGTGGTAACATGAGGGTGTGAGTTAGACATGTAACGGTAAAAAAGGAACAAGAATCAAGATAAAATCCCTAAAAATGTGTAAGAGATAATTATGGTAGATTCTTTATTTATATTATTTAATAATAAATATAAAAGTATAAAAGACTAATTATTTCATAAAGTAAAATTAAATTGATTTATAAATAAAAGGTGATTTGTTATAATCCGCAATTAAAATGTTAAGCAAGAATATTTTAAAAGTAGATTTAATACCTGTAATATTATTTAATAATAAGTTAAATTTTAAAATTATCAATAAATTAATATTTACTATTAATTTATCAACTAATGGCATAACACGCAGACATGTATACTAGTATAAATAATAAACAAACGTGTCAGAAAAAAAAGAAAGCCATTTGGACAAAAATTCTAGGTCAATAGTAGTATACATTGATGAAGAATTTTTTCACCCCAAAATAGTAGTATAAACTATAGTATATATAATGTGTTTTTTTCATATATACATGATATAATGATAATATTTAGTAGTACAATAGTATTTCAATATACATAGTATTTTAATGGTACATAAATTACAGTGGTACTGTAGTATATTAATCATGTTAGTTCCTCTATTGAGTGTCATAGAAGAACAAAAGTACATTTTGAGAATAATGCAATAAATTTGATAGAAGTTTTTAATACTTAGGAAAATTTTTATGTACAACTAAAATTGAGAATTAAAACAATATTTTGAAGGTAAATATATGAAAGTAATTAACTATTTTAATCATGGTAAAGGCTTATCTTTAATTTACTAAATCTCAGCCATTGATTTGAATCTATAACATGTGTCTCTTATAACTTGAGGAAAATGGAAAGATAAATGGAGAGGAACTAAATCCATATTTACTCACGTTTTAGATTTTTAAAAATGAGATAAAGTAGAAAACCTAGTAAATAAACCAATAAAATGAGAAAAAAAAAAGATAAATATGAATGGATTAATAGACATATCAAGGTTCAGCTGTGAATTCGCAAAGAGGTTCAGGGTTCGTAATTTGAGTAAGGATCTTTCACCTATCTAAAATCGGGCTCTTATGAACTCTCACCATCCCTATGGTACTATGGCTGTACAACTACAGTACC